GTGTGTGTGTGTGTGTGTGTGTGTGTGTGTGTGTGTGTGTTTCGCAGAGAACTGTACCAACTATAAGCTCCAGTTTGAGAGGGTTTTCTCTGTTCCTGGGGAGGTGGCCATGCTGAACAGCACCCTGCTCTCTCCAGACGTTCTGGACTTCATGGCGGTCCCGTACAACATCACCTGGTACAACTCCAGAACACAACAGGAGCTGAGCAACCAGACCGGCCGGGTTCTGATGGTCAGGGAGACTCTGTGGTTCCTGAACACAACACTGGATGATGCAGGGGAATACATGATGCTGCTGCAGTATGTTTTTAACAGAGGAAAACATTTTAACCATGCTTTGTAACAAGATTTTACATCTAAAAACATTCATAAATGACTTAAACTCCACACCGTTTACAACAAAATATATTTATGAGCCACATCAGCATAGTTAGAATCTGTATTTGAGGGGTGTGGCACTATTAAATTTGTAGTTTGCTGTTTTTTTGTTGTTTTTTTTAACAAAAGTGTACGGTACAGAGGGGATAAGAATCCAAAGTATGCAACAAATTCCTCACATCTTTCTGTGAGATTCACAAGTCAATTCAGTTTATATTTTAACAGTATTATACCCTACGTTTATTATAACACAACATAAAAGCAAGAAAAGTTTTATTTTCAGACTATTTACAATAAAATAACTTCATTAAAATAATTTTGATTGAACGTCTATAAAAAATGAACATTCCTGTTTGAATAAGACCCCAGAGACACTGAAGAGCTTCTTGATGACTTACTGAAGTCTTTTCCTCCACAGAACTCCTTCTAAGTGCTGCATGCAGTCCACCATGTTAGTGGTGGACCTGCCCCTGCCAGGGGAGTGTGGGAGGCCAAATAAAACCACTCAGGACCTGACGAACGGAGTGGCTGACAGCCTGAACTGTCCTCTCACAGACTATATAGATAAACTGAAGAGCTACAACATCCCCTCAGATCTCAGGTGGTACAAGGTGAGATTCATCCAAACCTCAGTTATTGACCAGATCTTTACAAGTATGATAGATATAAAAAAATAATAATAATATTAAAACCTAATTTAATTGCCTGACTTTGCTGTTATTTTGTTGTTTTCATATTTAGTAATTATTTAAAGATTAAGTTTGATGTATTTTTTCTGATCTAGGGTTGTGAGCCCATACTGGATGGAGTGGGTGGGTATACCTACGTAGAAACTACCCAGCTCACCATTGCCAGGGTGAAAAATGAAAACAGTGGCATGTACACCTGCACCCTGACGTTCACGCTTGGTGATGTTACAGGATCAGTGTCAGAGACCATCGATGTAACAGTCATAGGTTAGAACGAACAGACTCATTTTAAACTTTATAACTTGTTTTATTCTTTAATAAAACACATCTTTCACAAAGGTAAAGATCAGTGGTGGGCAGCGCTAATCCAAAAAGTAGCTCCGCAATTTCTAAAGCTCTTATGAAAATATTTAGGTCCACAACTTCAAAAACTCTTATGCCCAAGAAAAACTAGCAGAAGCTAATTTTAAAACACAAGTTTAATTTGACACTTACCAGCTGACAACAATGTATGTACAACAAATGCACAACACTGCCACCTAGTGGTGTATGAACTCTTTTACAGCTTAACCCTACAACCACTGATAGCTGGGGATGTGATGTCCTGAAACAGACCTTTAGCTCCTGGTGTAAAATTACAAACATTAACTGTTTTTGCTGTTGCCTTCCTGCTACGTAAGCAGACACAAAGCATTGTGGGAAATCAGAAGCGTGACC